ACCGATTTTAACGAAACTTAGCAGACATAATTCTAGGCTCAATTCAGTACGTTATGCCAAATTTGGAGCAAATCGAAAGATATATAGTGACTTTGGTGCACCATTTACATGAAATCGGACGAAACTATATATGGGAGCTGTATCTAAATCTGGACCGATTTTCACTAAACTTGGCTGTACCAATTTTCGTGCAAATCGAAAGATATATAGGGACCATTTACATTAAATCGGTTAAATGTATATATTGGAGCTATATCTAAATCTGAACCGATTTTTTTCAATTTCAATAGGGTTCGTCCTTGGGCCAATAAGTGACCTACGGACGGACAGACGGACATGCGTAAATCGACTCAGAAAGTGATTCTATGCATATTCTCAAAAGGAACCATGGGTCTATCTCGATTATTTTTGCCTGTTACAAACATATGCACAAAGACATAATACCCTGTACCACAGTGTGGTGAAGGGTATAAATATTATAATAAAAACCGGACATCTAAATAAGCTAATTAGCTAGAGATTTCAAACTTTGCGACAGTTATTTTTATTGATATTCAATGCTTATGGATCATAGCTAGTGATGTACAATGACAGCTTCGTATCGAAAACGACATTGCCGAAGGGTCCCTGATTCCGAAGCTCCTCCCCTATATTATATTTAATTTATGACAAAACTGAAATTTATGTACAATGTACATTCATCAAACATTGTTTCCTATGCATGAATATAATTTACAAACTACTCGATTATATTAAGAATGTACCGGTGCACCTTTCTTATTATTAGTCTCCTTCAGAATGCAAGCATTAGTTTTGTGTATTCCAAACATACGCAACAATTTTCAAAGTAAACTGAGCATACGTTGTTCTCAATGTTCTTGCTTTCTGTACACATTTTATTAATTTTAGTACACATCTGGTGGTTGTCTACGCTAATCCTGAATAGAATAAATATGAATTTAGTTATTCCTACCAAAAACTATATAACACATGTGTTTGGTAATGTTGACGGTTATTTGGGATACCTTTTGAATTTGTTTTTGCAAAATATTCAGTCTAAATCCCAGTTTTTTATTTTTTTAAAAACAACTACTTGAACTCACTACGGAACTCACCACTGTTCATTATCAGTTCCCTTAGTTTTTTGTTAGTGATATTCCTATTAATAGATTCTTTACAAAAAAACATTTTTCCACTAATTTCTACACTGAAAATTTTGTAAAAACAAAAATAAACATTTATAATTAATATTATTATATAATGCAAAAAATGTATTCCAGCCTCCAAAATTCCCCAAATGGCATATTATAGTCTTTTTAGCCTTGTGACTAAAACACTCAAAATTCCGAAAATGCCAAAAATCTGACGTTATTTGGCTATATCTAAACCTAAACACTCAAATTGCAACCTATTCGATAGAGGCTCTTTCCACAGTTCTATGTTACTTATGGTGCCAGAATATTCTGCATAGAATATGATCCTGACATATGTTTTTATTTCATTGCCGTAAGTAGAATGGATTTTATACATGCTCTCAAGGTGTATTAAATAAGGTGTAAGTGACAATCATATGGTTTTAAACTTTTTTCTTTATTGTTTGTAAAGTAAATTGTCAAAAACATTTTCAACAATTAATTACGATTTACAAAAATTGAATTTAAATTTAGGATATTGATAAAAAAATATGTTCATAGAGAGGAACGAAAAGCAAACTTAGGCTTAAATCAGTTTTAAACCTTTTCGCTGATTTGATCCAAAGTTTAAGTTTTGTATCCCGTATTGAAATATGTTCATAAATCCTAGCTACACGTACGTAGCCTATATTGGAATAGGAAGATTCCAAAAATCAATCCAAAGGTGAAAGTCTTTGATATTCTCCTATAGACAGATTGCACAAGGGCAACACAATTTCCTTGATTTAGTCTTTGGCCGGGGATTTACGTCCACCAAACTTCCATTAAGGAGGCGAAATTTGAAGGCAATTCTTCGAAAAAATTTGTAATTTACAATATAAGCAATATCACCAGGAGCCAAGGGCTACACGTTGGAAACATTTCAAAACAATTCGTGACCGGGTCTTAAACTTTAAATTGCCAAAAATCGAAAAAAAAACAAATTCCTTAATTATTCTTCAAAGAAAAGTTCTTGACACAAATTAATAAACATAAATGGATAATTGTTTTTATTTATTTTTGTCAAAAACTAATTGTCAACATGACAATTTAATTTCTATAACAGCAATGTTGTTTTTGTAAAATGTTAGTTGTTGTAGCTGATGCATACACCTTATTAAATACACCTTGACATGCTCTAAATATTTGAAGTTTAGTTTTCCTGTATATCTATATGTAGGTGAGCTTCTGGATACATCTTGCAGTCTTCGGAATGCTACCGAAGACCGTCTCACTCCGATTAAGGTTAACCTGGATGAATTCTGTCAATTGTCCTCCACTAATCGATCCTCTTATGATTCGGTTATCTTCTCCTCGGCTCCCTCCCACTTCCTCGCTACTCTTTTTGGCCTCCTCTTCTCCAGTCTTATCTTCCCAATCTTAAAGAAGTCTGCGTTGGACGCGTAGGTCTCCTCGCCTTAGTCTTTATCAGACTTGCCATTGAAGAATTATCAGAGCCCACCACAACTAGAGTTCCATCTTCTTTCTCCTTCCTGTGGAAGACTTTCCATTTCTTCACCAACAGTGTACTGTTTTGCAGAACAAAGACATCGAGCATGCGTTCTGACGAAATCCGTTGCCTTTTGTTATTGAGGAATGTACTGTTTCCTCACCATCTTGTGTTTAATTGTCTCATTTTTTGGAACATTATCTGTCACTAGTTTTCTTAGGGCTTCTATGCGCTTTTATGACTCATACTCTATCCTTGAAAAGACCCCTTTGATTCTCCATGATCTTTTTGTTGACCGCATCCTTCACCTCCTTACTCCTTACTTTTTTGTTTTCCAGACGCGTGGTTTTCGTAGATCACTACATAGCAGAGCTCTTCTCTTTCGCGCCACCTGACAACCTTTGCATAAGATGGCGGCTCCTTACCATCTGTTGCCTCTGTCTTCCCCTTTCCTAAATTCCCGTTAGTCATTTTAAAGTTGCTGGGCTTAACGAAAGATTGGGTGCTCTTCTTTTTGATATTAGAGCCAGCATCGTCACCCTCAGTCGATGGATTTTCATGCCAAACTCCTTTGACCTCTGTTAGACTATACGTTCTCTTGATATCAGCCGACTGGAAGCTCTTTTTCTTTTTTCCGGGTATGGTGTTCGTCTGCTCTTCCCGAGACCTAATCCTCTTCACCACTTTCGAGTAGAGGGGCCAACAGATTTATCCTTTTGAGTATTGGCTGCCTGTCCAATTTTGTTCTTTGGCTTCATTCTGGCTATTTTTCCCTTTTGTAATAATGCAGAAAATATAGTCGGCCCTATTCGACTTTTGTCCTTTCCTTTATTTTCTTTCCCTTTAAGTACATTGCCAAGCGATTAAAAATCGTCCAAATTTCCGTTTTTTGTTTAGGAGTTCAAAACATTTTTACAATTACTCGTTTAAATTCTAACGGAAATATAGTATTGTATCCATACAGTACTTTTTGTATCTATGAGATACTTGGACTGTACAAACATTATTTACAAAGTTGTATTTAACAGGTACAACTACTGTACAGATAAATAATTCATTCAAAACGGGCGAACACAACAAAAACCCGATAAATGTCTTGACTATGAGAAAGTAAACAATAGCCACCTGTCATTTGAGTGGCATAAACGAATGTCAAACAAAATAGAAATATAAAAACAAAACACAAAGAGTGTTTTTTCCTTTTCTCATCAAATAGAGAGAGCGAGGGCGGACTTTGAGCAAACGCGGTATATTTCTCTCTTTCGCTCACTCTCCCCTCCACAAACATTAAAGCAGACAGTAAACATTGGACAAAGAGCCCCAACGTCGGGCAAAACAACAAACCATGAAAACAGTCTGTTGGGAGCTGAATTTGCGAATGGGGGTTGCTTCTGCTTTCGTGCTTTTTGCGATAACTAGGCGAGTTTAGACGACGATAAGGAAAAACAAGAAAATAAGCAGAGACATCATCATCTGACAGTGCAACGGTTGTTTGAAACGAACGAATGACACAACAATTGTGTTAACACTCTTTTTTGCGTTGCTGAGTAAAAGTAACTGTAAATAAAGCTCCCCCATCTTCCCGCAATACCTTAACTGTCCCCCCTCCCCAACATTACCCTGAAAGATATACAACAACGTTACGTTGTAATGTAACGGACATAATGGGGGAAAATGTCAGATTTCCACACAACCAGGGTGGAGACAACTGAGGAAGAGTAAACGACGAAGATAAATAGCAACACACAACGGACACACACACCAGTAATAAACCTACATTAGAGAAAATTTCAGAGCATGATTTTGGGGTGTCGGGCACAAGAGAGGAAAAATCGAAAATAACTGCTGCAAGTTACATTTATCAGCAGCAGCAAAGTTGGAAAATTTCTTCCGCTGTTGAGACGACGACGACGACAACACTCATGCTCACGCTATACCGACGTTTGGTCGACCAAACGAAGTAGAGAAAATATAACGCATGAATGTGCAGCAGTATAACCGAACCGAATTCGCGGATAAACGGAAAGGCTGAAGTGATTTTTTTAGTTTTTCATGACAAAAAAAAAAGAAAACGCATTACCAAGAAAGAAAAATCGTTTTGTTATGAAATTTTCTAAGAAATTGCAAGAAAAAGAAGAAAAAAGTGAAAGAAATAGAAAAAGGAAATAGAAATAGAAATACAAGTGCAATTTGAAACAAAGTGTAAATGAAAATTAGAAATTATCTACAAATGAAAATGTGGTGTTGTTATTGTTGTTGTTAATAAAACTTGAAAAAAAAAATCTTAGAAGCGTTACCTACCAAAAAATAGTTTTTCTTCCACATAAAAAGTTTAGTTTAAACAAATTCTACTCTAATTACACCAAATCATTGTCATCATGTCAATGGAAAGCAATAATACCCCTGTGGATCCACGAGTTCAGGTATGTTATTTGAATACTTTGATTTTTTGCTTGTCACATTTATGAATAAAATATAACAAATCGCCGAATATGAAATCTGTGCCAAGCCCACACATTTACCGCAAGCGTATTTCGTTCTTTCTTTCTGTTTTGTGGAAAATCATTGTCAAATGTTTTGTTTCGGAATATATCTATATATTTAGTATACGAATGTGCAAAATGTGTTATTGTTATAACATTGGGTTGTATCGAAGAAAAATAAATAAATTTTCGTGATATAGCACCATGGGCCAGAGATTCCAGTTTTTGTCATAATTAGATTAGTGAGATAGACAATATCACATATAAGTGGTTCGGAGACAATTTCGTATACCCTTCACAGGATATTATGACTTTGTACATATGTTTGTAACAGACAAAAGGAAAAGAGATAGACACAGGGTTCCTTTTGAGAATATGCATAGAATCACCTTCTGAGTCGATTTATGCATGTCCCTCCATCCGTCTGTCCATGTTAAATTGTGAACATAGAGCAGGTCGCAGGGCTTAACACTATTTTAGTAAAAGCGATCAGATTTTTCTGAAATTTTTTCCAGAGGTATGTATTTTTACCCTAATTATGGGGATATTTTTTTTTCTTGGGGGACGTACCCGGTTATTTGACCCGGAAGTTCGGGTACGGGTAACCGGTTATATCCGGTTCTAAGGTCCATATCTTTTGATCCACAACAGATACAAATTGTGGTCTATCATTTGAGTCTGGGTTGGAGAGGGACTATAATGGACCCAAGTTCAACTTTTAGGGAGTTTTTCAAAAAAATCGGGGACCAAAATCTTTTTTTGACTATATCTCCAAAATGGTTTGAGATCACCCCATCATATTACCACTCAATGGAAAGGTATTTTTATAACCTTTAAAATGATACCCATTTTATAGTTACCGGATCCGTAGAACCGTATATAACCGTACCCGTACCCGAACTTCCGGGTCAAATAACCGGTAACCGGGTACGTCCCCAAATAAAAAAATATATCCCCATAATTAGGGTAAAAATACCTACCTCTGGAAAATTTTTCAGAAAAATCTGATCGTTTTTACTAAACTAGAGTTGCTTCAAAATCGGTTCGGATTTAGATATAGATCCTATATATAACTTCGTCCCATTTTTAGTAAATGGTGCACCAAAGACCCAAAGTTACGCCGATTGGCACACAAAATTTTGCACAACGCCTTGAAGTTGGGGTAGCCTAACACGTGCCAAGTTTTATTGAAATCGTTTCAGATTTATATATAGCTCCCCTATATACTTTCGTCCCATTTAATATAAATGGTGCACCAAAGTCTCTATATATCATTCGATTTGCCCGACATTTGGCATAGCGTACTAAACTAAGTCTAGAATGATGTGTATTTATTTTCCTGAAAATCGGTTCAGATTTAGATATAGCTCCCATATATATTTAATGTAAATGGTGTACCAAAGTCCCTATATATCATTCGGTTTGCACGAAATTTGGCATAACGTACTGCATTGAGTCTAGAATGATGTGTACTAAGTTTCGTAAAAATCGGATTAGGTTTCACTATAGCTCCTATCAGGGACGTATGCAATGATTTTTTTTCACAGTAAATTTATGTTTGCAACAGCGAATTTTTCCATTTTGTACTACCCAGTATGACAAATTATAGCTCTTTAGGTTGGATAATGCGAAAAAAAACCCTTCAAAATACCGAAAACGTGGTGGAAACCTTATACATATGATGTCTAGCCAAAACATGGACCTATAATAATAATTTTTTGCGCGTGGATTTACTGTAGATTTTTTTTAAGGATCATAGATCGGTTGAAGGAGAAGCTGACAACGGTCGTTGGGACCATTAGGCGTGTTTTGCGGACCGATTGGGGCTTAAGTAGGCGTTCTGGGCGTATCATATATGGTGGGTTTTTTGTTGCCTGTGCAACTTATGATGCAGCTATATGGTACAGATCTGCCTCATCTGTCTTTGGGCAGAGGAAGTTCCCTTCGTGTCGGCGGGTCGTTATGTTAGCATGTTTGCCAGTGTGTAGCACTATTTCCACAGAGGCGTTGCAAGGCGTTGATCTTGAAGTGAGATGTAGGGCTACCCTGTATAAGCTTAAGCGTGGCTTGCAGTTGGATGAGGATGATTGGCTCAGGCCTTCTGATCTGATCTTGAAGGGGAGAGTAGGCGGTACAGCACTATCCTTCGGGAGTGTGTTGTTGATAGGTGGTGGACAAGGTAGACGAACAGTGACAAAGGGAGGGTGGCGTACGAATTAATTCGTGACGCAACGTTCGTAGTGGAGCGCCCAGACTTTCGCTTCGGCTTACGTACTGGTTTCTTACTGACGGGGCATGGTTCTCTCAACTCGTTTCTGTATAAAAGAAGCCTGTCTCAGACGGATTTAGTAGTTCGTGAAGCATTTAGGAGAAGGACAGCACTTAGTGGAGGTGGTACTCGTGCACAGCCCCCTGCAGGTGGACTCGGTCGGTTGCACCGAGTGGCGGTGGATGTTGGCGGAGAGTGTGCTGACTGCCGATGTTTTGCATCGTGGGTGGTTCGCGGTATTCCTGCTTCACGAGGTTCACTCCTCTTGTGGATGTCGTGAAGGCTGTCTGTGAGGGCAATTTCGTTGAGTGTTTGTGTTGTGGTGTCCGTTGCCGCGGTCCTTTGGGCCCTTTGTGCAGTCTGTGAGGTCAGCATGTTAATTGTATGTGTTCAACGTCGTCACTGCTTGTGGCAAGGTTGTGCTTGCGGTTTTTGCTACTGCGTTTATTATACCCTTCACCACACTGTGGTACAGGGTATTATGTCTTTGTGCATATGTTTGTAACAGGCAAAAATAATCGAGATAGACCCATGGTTCCTTTTGAGAATATGCATAGAATCACTTTCTGAATCGATTTATGCATGTCCGTCCGTCCGTCTGTCCATGTTAAATTGTAAACAAAGTACAGGTCGCATTTATGATCCGATTTGGATGAAATTTGGCACAGCTCATTTGTTTGGCCCAAGGACGAACGAACGAATTGGGAAAAATCGGTTTAGATTTAGATATAGCTCCCATATATATTTTTGCCCGATTTACGGACTTTAGACCCTGAAAATCTTTCGATTTGCACGAAATTTGGCATAGCGTACTGAATTGAGCCACGAAAGATGTGTGCCAAGTTTCGTGAAAATCGGTTCAGATTTATATATAGCTCCCATATATAGTTTCGCCCGATTTACGGACTTTAGACCCTGAAAATCTTTCGATTTGCACGAAATTTGGCATAGCGTACTGAATTGAGCCACGAAAGATGTGTGCCAAGTTTCGTGAAAATCGGTTCAGATTTAGATATAGCTCCCATATATAGTTTCGGCCGATTTTTGGTAAATGGCGTACCAAAGTCCCTATATATCTTTCGATTTCCACGAAATTTGGCATAGCGCACTGAATTAAGTCTAGAATGATGTGTGCAAAGTTTCGTGAAAATCGGTTCAGATTTAGATATAGCTCCCGTATATATCTTCCTCCGATTTAAGGTAAATGGTGTACCAAAGTCCTTATATATCTTTCGATTTGCATGAAATTTGGCATAACGTACTGAATTGAGGCTAGAATGATGTCTGTCCAGTTTCGCGAAAATCGGTCCAGATTTAGATATAGCTCCCATATATAGTTTCGTCCGATTTCATGTAAATGGTGCCCCAAAGTCCCCATATGTCTTTCGATTTGCACGAAATTTGACATATCGTACTGAATTAAGCCTAGAGTGATGTCTGCCAAGTTTCGAGAAAATCGGTCCAGATTTCTATATAGCTCCCATATATAGTTTCGTCCGATTTCATGTAAATGGTGCACCAAAGTCCCTATATATCCTTCGATATATTTAGATAGAGCTTCCACATATATTTTCGCCCGATTTTAAGTAAATTGGACATCAAACTCTTCATGCTAGTCAGGTTGACATCAAATTTTGCACAACGTACAAAATTGAGCATAGAATTACGTAGTTGCGTTTTCTAGAAGTACAGACATAGCCCAACAGATAACCTATTTATATTTGATTGAAGTCGATTTATATAACTTATGGATATATAGGTAGATTCACATTTAGATAAATATCACATATTTTATTTCATCCAATTTCATGTTAATAGTCCTGTTTAATATATTCATAGTGGTGAAGGGTATCATATAGTCGGCCCCGTCCGACTTTACTACTTTCCTTACTGGTTTTTGTATTGGGATACCAGGCCGGACTTTCGTCGAACTGGGAGAGGCTTCGGTCTCGAGCCTGATCGGAGGTTTTCCGTACCGCGGGTGTCAGGTGCCCCTGAATCTGTCGATCAAGGCTGACAGTTTGCGTGGCCCCCTGGGAAGTTTCGCGCCACACCAAGTGCCTTCTGCATGCTCTTCGATTGGTACAGCACTTCGGTGCTGGTGGGCTTAATTCTACCTGTGGCTCAGCCACTGTGAGGTAGGCCAATAGACAGGTACTCATATTAAACTTCTCAAGATCCTGTTCGTTGATACCATTATGCAATTTAGTATTTTATAAAATGTTCAATGTATGTCCCTTATAACGGTTCCCACACTAATTCTCAAACTAGAGTGGCTGCACTTTTGTATTCCGAGTTATCGGATAGTAAACAACTTGATCCGGTATGTTGAAATTTCTAATAGAACCATAGTGTTTATAATTTGGTGTTTCGTTTTCTCAGAGGGTAACAATTTTCATGGTGGCTCGTGTACCTCCTCCATACGAAGACCCAAATTTGGCATATATACATACCCCATTGTTGGCCAAAATTGCTCCAGAGGTACCAGAGTGTTAACTTCGTAATTTCAATGTAACTGAAATTTACATCTTCAGCTTTAGTTTAGATCTCATCGAGACACATCTATAGATTATTAACACCTCCAGCGGCGTACCCATTACATTGTTGAATTCAAATTAAAATTCCCCTTCCTTTGAAATAATTTTAATTTAACAGCACATTGTTTCAATTT